TTTCCTTTTGCATCGCTTCTTTTCCTTGGATTTGCTCCCCCTCACCCCTTTCTGCTGGTTTCTTTCCCTTCCTTTTGAAAAAGATTAGACTGTCTTTATTCCACCCACAATTTTTTTCACTTTTATCCTTCTGATTTTCACCCCATCCCTCTGGGGAGGAGAGATCGAGCAGCAGGGTGGTGTTTAGCTGCCTGCCTGGGCTAAACCACAACACTGTGGCTCATAGAACAAGGGCCAAAATTGTTGAAAAAATCAATTACATTGTTTTTTATAGAATTGTTTTGTTGTGTGGTCTTTCATAAATCCATCCTGTGTGTTTGTTTTTAAGTGAAAAATCAGGCCCATGCTCTGATTTTCTAATTTTCAGTAATTGCAAATAATTGACTTCATATTACCTGACATAATTTACAGGACATCAGTACATAATAAAGAAGAAAATGTTGTTTACTTTGTACATTAATAGATGTGGAATTAAATAAGGTTCATATATTTCTTGGGTCATGCCTTACTTTCACAATCTATTCAAATTATTGTTCAGTAAACACGAGTTCTAGGTTTCTTTTTGCTAAATTCAAAAATCTTGGATAAGCTGTTAGTTACGTTTCTGCAACCCCCCCTGAGATTAACAGCCTATCTCATATAGAGAAGTCAAAATGGCTAGCAGGGTTCCCTGTTGCAAACATTCAATTCCAGACTGCCAGGTGCTGTTAAGCAGTTATTGGAGTTTATCCTGGAGCCATTTATAATTAGCTAGTAACTAATTGTTCATAACTTGACAGATAAATGCATCATGTACAATCAATAAATAATAAAGCAAAGCCAATCTTCAGGATATATTTTTCTTTGTGTAGGTCAAAGACCGCACTCAAATGGAAGATTCAGGTTGAATTTCATGTCTGAAGTCAAGTTCTGGAGCTGATGAAGGTTGTTTGGGTGTTCTGCTGAGGCACCATGCAAGGTCACTCTAGGGAGAAAGTGCTTGAGCAACTAAAATCAAGGCTCCTTTGTTTATCAGATAATGAACAATACTGGGCAGAAGTACCTGCACTTAGGCACTTGCTGGCTAAGAGGACACAAGGCTGTTGCTTTCCAAAGATGTAGAAAAACAGATGCATGGAAAACTGAGAAGCATCTAGCAAGCAATGCTTCATTTATGGTAAGAAGGATGTTATAATCGTAATTGCTGCTGCAGTGTGCTGGGATGGACCTTTGTGTCCAAGCTGCCAGACACTTGTTCCAAGAGGGCAGCTGTGCCTCCTCCTATCTCTTCCCTGGGCTTGTAGTCATCCCAGTGAACATGGCACTGTGAGGGTCCTGCCAAATCATAGCCCTTGCTCCCTATCAGATACAGAATAGGAAATGGTATCCAAGCTTGCCTAAATCTTTCTTTTTTCCTTTTCCATTCTTTCCTTTCCTTTTTCCTTTCTCCTCCTTTCATTGCTTTTGTACATGACTAGTTACAACACACCTGTCATTAGCTTTACCACCTGCAGGCTCTGATGGGCAACCAAAATAACTTGGCCTCTTGAAGTTGTCTCTAGCTGAGAAAAGCTCCACAAATAGTATTCTTCCAAACTGTCTCACTAGTGATAAATCTGCTTGAGAAGAAGGCACAGTAAGACTACAGGGCATAATTAGTTCTGCCCTGAATTCCAATTTCTATTTTGGATTATTTATTCATTTATTGTCAGGGTAGGTCAGATCCTTGGACCTTATTATCTGATAGAATACAACGTTCTGATAAACAGATGATTTTGTTTTTGTTTTGTTTTCCACTTTTTTTTTGTTTAAAAACAGCTTCTTGATTGCAAGAAGCTCCCTGTACTGCAGCAGAAAGCTGGCCTCTCCTGCCAAAATTGGCTGTATTACAAAGTGGGATTTCATGGTAATTATAACAATGTAAGCAAGAGCTTCCTTTAAAGTGCATTCAAAATGCAATGGTATATAAATAGATTTCTCTCTTCCATCTTCTCCCAAGCATTAATGTGCAGCATCTTTTTGCCAAAAAGAAACAAGTGGAATTGTCTAATCCTGAATAACTGCAGAAGTCAGTAAATGCATATACTGATGGTCATGTGGTTCTTGAACAATCCTAATATAAACAACAAAATTTGTCTGCTGAAAATTGCCAGTGCTCCTCAAACTGCATTTCAACTCTTTAGCGAAGAACTTTCTCGAGTTTCTTTCCAGCCCAAATGTTTTGCCATTTCTGAAGCCTACCTTGATTAAACTTCTGTATGAGATACTGATAACATACAGAATATGTATGTTATCATAAATATATTGTATGATAACAATATATCATACAATATTGTATGGTATATTCAGTTCAAACATACAACTGTCTCAAGCTGATGAAAGCTGTTGTAGGCAGTGGGAGGTACCACTGCCTGCAGAGGCTTGTGCTGCACTCCATGAAACAGCACCTTCTTTCAAGCTTATGTTCCTCAGCCTTAGAGAACAGAAATAAATTTGAGGCCTAGGGAAACATTATTTTAGAAAATGGTGTAAAGCCTCTATTCTACTGAATGAAGAAGGAATTTCAAACTTCAATAAAGTGACCTTTTTGCTTGAATATTCTTTTACAAAGCAGTAGAAACCCCCTGTGAAAGGCAAGGCTATATTTCATAGCAAAATACGGACTATACAGTATCCATGAAGTGCCTTTTGTTGATTTTTTTTTTCAAGTCCAGCAAAGCAATATTCAGTTCAACATCTCAGTCATTTTAGATTGAGAGAGATTAGCTTTGCAACAGGAGATATCAATGCAACACACATTCGGTGCTAAGTTAATCAGACCTCAAAGCCATTTTCTCCAAAGCAAGAGGGGCATAAACACAGTCAGAGGAGATCTCTCATCCTTACTGTTGGCATTGTACTGGGGAGCAGAGCAAAAGTCTCTTGGCAGGATTGCCATTCATCACTTCATTTTCCTGTTTGAAACATACAAAGAGCCCACTATTTTGCAAGGAGAAAAAGTCAGTTATTAACTCAAGCAGTTTCTATTCATTTAAGAGATTATGGGGAATAGCAACCAGTCTACCGATCTAATTTTTGCAAGGTATTTTCCTGTGTCCATCTTTTTTTTTACTAACAAATTGTGCTGGTTTTGGATGGTGTAGAGTTAATTTTTCTCACAGTAGCTAGAATGGGGCTGTTTTTAACCTTCCAATTTTCTCCCTGATCCTGCTGGTGGGGCAGTGATCGAGCAGCTGTGTGGTGGTTGGCTGCTGGCCAGAGTTAAACCGTGACACAAATGTAAAGCAGGCATGGAAAACTCTGTTTTGTAGCATGCATTAGGAGACAGTTCCTATCTGAAGTAAGACTGGTTGTGTCTGCAGCTATTGTGAATGCTCAGAAAGGCACACTGATTGCTGGGATCAAGCAGCATGACTGGTACCATGCTCAGAGGCACAGTAAGGAGCACTGAGTGTCCTGGCTGAGGTGCACAGTTGTTTCTCTGCTACCATTACACAAACAAACAGAAATGGAAAAGTTCTTGATAAAAAAAAAATGTAGTGTAGAAATGACATGATGTCCCAGCTGTGGAAGAGAGGAATGGACAGCTGGAACTTGGTTGTGGGACAAAATAGCATGCTAAAGGATGGGTGGATTTAGTAGATAGATAAGCAGCCTATATTTTAAATCAAGTCTCTAGAAAGGTATGACATTCCTGTGATATACCTGGTTTCTTTTATAGCCATTTTGCCAAGATGTGGCCATTAAAGGGTGCTGTATCTTCAGCCTGGGCCGATGACTTTCTTGGACATGTACCTCTGTTTCTCCTGATTTTAAGATATGCTGAGAATGGTATCACTACACACATTTATTTAACTTCTTTTTTTTTTTTAATGAAAAAAATCACTCAAAAAGGTGGCCAGAAAGAAACACAAAAACATTTTGTATATTTAAACCTGGTGCTGTTGTTGATATTAAGCAGGTGCAGCTTGCAGCTGCCTGTGTTCCCTGGTTTATATGTGCAGTCCCCAGCCACAGCCTGCCTGCACACTTCTGCCAGCAATGGTCCTGCTCTCCCTGGATCACTGGAGACTCATACCTCTGAAGAGAAGCCATGGGAACACAAAAAGCCCAAGTGGTGACACCTCAGCCTTGGCAATCATGCAATCTATGTGGCATCCAAAGCCTTCTGACTGCCATCTGCAGAGGAGTAGAAGGTAAGGTGTCTTGCTCCCACACCAGGGCTTCAGGTGACAATAGAGTTTTTCTGAGCTGTCTGGCATTACAGGGTTGGGAGAAGTGGATCAGAACTAGTGCGCTGGCAGTGATGTGGAGATGAAGGTGACTGTCTAGGCTTGGCTGCATCACCCCTAGTAAATACTTCTTCCTGGCTCCTGACCATATGGGCCTGTGAGGGAAACAGTCTTCTTGTAGGTCTAGTGGATATTTTAGGGAGAGACTCAGGAAATCAAGAAAGCTGGAAAAACAGACTTTTTTCCTGATTGAGCTGTTTATCTGAAGCCTTTTAAGCAAAGTAGAGCTGAGGAGACAAGTTCCCCAACAAGCAGATTCTCTCAGAGGCTGAACTGGGGACTTAAACTGAACCTAGATTAGTGAAGCAAGCTGTTAGCATAGACATTAGAAATCATTATTATGTTTGGGGCTCTTTATTTTTTTTCCTCAGAAGACTGTGGTAGAAACAAAGTCTGCCTGAAAAAACACAGAAGAATCTTCAGTTGGTGGGACTGCAGCTATTGCCTGAAAAGACTAGATCTAGTTTAACAAGTAGGATGAATTACCACAATAATAGGTCTGTACATTTTGACAGAAAAGATTAATGATCCAATTTTGGTTTGTGTTGTGTTTTTTTTTCCTCACTAAAAATAATACGCCATTTGCATCTAGGACATGGGCTAGGCATGTAGCACATACATAAAGTTGTCCTCTTGCTGAGAAATACTCACTATAAAGACACACAGAATATAGAAAGTCATATCTTATCTATTGCTCAACAACATACGGGGAAAAAATGAGAAGCTCACCTTTTGTGCCCTGCGCTTGTCTGCTCGTTGATTCTGGTGGTATATACGGCTGAAGTTGGAGACAATTACAGGAACTGGCAGAGCAATGACCAAGACCCCACTCAGGGAGCATATTGAACCAAAAATCTTGCCAGCTATTGTCTTTGGCACCATGTCACCATACCTGGGTTAAAAAAAACAAAATGCTTAGTACAGACAAAAGCTCTTCTAATTATTGAACTTCATGATGAATTAATCACACAATAGATTTTAATTCTCATGCAAATAATACTTGCTTCATATAAATATTACTTTATGCACATATGCATACATATACAGCAAGCCCACTGTTGTTGCACACACAATTTTAATTTGAAGCTAGTTTTGGGTCTCCTGTCTGTCAAACTATGAGCAGGTAAATCACATGTTTTACCTGCTGTAGTCTTTTCAGGCTGCCTCTATTGCAATGGAGATAGAATGACCTTGCTAGGAAAAAAAAGTCAGTGTTGAAATTCAGTCCTTACTCTGTTTGCTTGCTGGAAGAACTCATCACTTTCCATTGACAAGATCCTAGAGAGACCACTTGGTAAATTAGATGCTAAACTGAATAATCTGTTGTCTCACTTAAACTGATATAGTACTTTCATTTAGGAGGGTGACAGATTTTTGCAACAGGTTGCTCAGATCATGAATTTTCTATCCTTGGAGATTTTCAACACTTGGCTAGACAGAAGTATGGCTGACCCAAACTTCTTATTGTTGACATGAGAAGCAGGAGCAGCTGAGCTCCAGAGGCCCCTTCTATGGTCTAGATGAAAGCAAACATGAAAAACCCAAGCTACAAGCAAGCGACCAAACAAATTCTAACTGCAAATCCTGTCAGTGCTCAGAATTACTAGAGCTACCACCTTTCTTTATGATATTGGATATTGCTTTGTCCAGCAAGAAAGAACATAGTGCTAGTGAAATATATAAAGGCACTCCAGTGCCAGCTTATTAACAGACATCAGCTCTTTGCATTTTGCCATATTCTGTAGGGCACAAGTATGTAATTGCATAATACGGAGTTTAATAAAGAGATAAATTACTTTCAAGTACCATTTGTTTTTTAACTTTACTGGATTTTAAGTTATTATTAAACATGGATTGTAGCTTGTGAGTTTAGTATGTTTGTGAGCATGGAGACAGCACATTCCCTATTACAAAGAATTAATAAGCTGTTAACACAAGATAAGTTAAGAAATAAAACTGCAGGAGGTGCAGTGATTGGGAAATACTATCTGGAAAACAAAATCTGTTTGGCAGGAACTGGAAAAATAATAGAGAAGAAGGGGAGAGTCTTCAGGTCATACGGTCCAAATTTTGCACCTAATAACAAGAAGGACGGGATAAAAGGGTGGGGACAACAGATGATAGAGAATCTGTATGAGGTTAGAGGATGCCTTCTAGCAATGAGAGCTCGGCTCACATCAAAAGGAGGTTGTGTATGTCCTTGGAGGTGAAGATGAATGGTTTGCATTTTGTAAGATAAGAGGAAAGTGTTTAACATAAATATTCAAATAAGTTGTAATATAGCAGATGTAATATAGATGACCAAGTCTTAGACTATTGACATAGATTATATTGTGTAAAATAAATGTTTAGTTGCTTTACCAAGCATGCCCAAGTGTAAAATATTCACAGGAAAAAAATACATTAATATTTCTGCCAATAAACCCCATACACTCAGAATTTGAATGCCATTAGCTTCTCATTTTGTGACATGTAGGATTGGATAAAAAATACATAATTTAATAGAATCCATCTTTTAAATTAGTAATATAGCTGGTCTTAATTATAAGATATATAAAACTGCAAACATACTAGAGAGTCATGCTTTCTTTCACATCAATATTTGCACCTCACAACATAACCATTCTTGATGCTTATCTCTTCCTAAAGCCACAACTGACTATCAACTGTCAGGACTGATGCATGCCCAGTTGTTCTTTCCTTTGAGGCAAGGAAGTGGATAAATGACCTTTCAAGGTCTCTTTGAAAAATGGGATCCCCAACACCTAGCTAACCCCATTTTTTTTTCAGGCAGAATGATAGGAAAAGCAGTGGGCATGGGGCCAGGGTGCTGAGCTCTGGGGAGAAGTCCTAGGATCAAATCACTGATAAATCCTTTCTGTTTTACAGTGTTCATTACTGTTTTACTTCATTCTTACTGATACAATCCAAGTATTTTCTTATATTGAATCAAACTGTATCAACAGAAAGCTATGTAAAAGGCAATATATATTTACACATGCCTGACACAACCAGATTTTGAAATGCATACCCCAGCATATTTACACATGCCCCAGTGCTAGATCTCTTAAATTAGATCTCTTAAATGAGATTTCTAAACCTTCCTAAATATTTAAATGCTTATCACTTGAAATGTTAAATTGCTGAACGTCCATAAGCTCACATTGTCACTGATGGCTGCTGTGGACAGAAGGCATTCCTGGCTCTAATTAATTTGGTTTGAAGTTGCTCAGGGATATAGTTCATCCTGTTGATAATGTGACAGTGTAATTACATGAATCAAGTTCAGACTGAAGCTTAAGGAGTTATGACAGGAACCATTAGCTGATCTATCTCTAGCATTTCAATGTTTATGTGTGGACTTACCCACTGACATAAGCAGATGCCTTTTCACAATATTTCAGTGTTACAGAGTGAAATAAAAAATATCAGGATTTTTTGACAGGTATTTTTCAAAGAAGGTATTTTTCAATGATTTTCTCACCTTCCAGAGAAAATTACAGGCAGATGGATATACTGTTTATTTTAAAATAACTTGCTTTTGGTTATTTTTCTATTTCAGCTTGCATAACTTTAATAATGTGACATTTTCCAAAGGTAATGTTGCTTGTCTATTGTTCAGTGTTAATAATATCTTTCACATCATTAATAGTTCTTACATAATTAGTTTTTCTCCTGTTGCTAACCACTGTGTTGGAGATGTTTAAATAAAATTATGGTCAGAAAAAATTACTTCAAAGAAATTAGCCTTTCTGCACAGGGTGAGAAACATATTTGCTTACTTTTGTGACAAAACAGAGTTTTTGCTTCATTTACCCTAGTTGGCCTTGCTCTCCTCTGGGACAGTGATACAGATTTTAGTCTACTGTAGGCATGATCAGAATCGTTAATGAAGTTCCACATCCTACATTAAACATTACCTTTAGTTATACCTCATATATCACTGAACACCACCAATGGAAGTGGATAACAAAAAATTAACGGAAAATTCCTTCCTTTACCCCAACTACAATTGCTTTATTCCTTGGAAAGTCTAAACTAAAAAAGAATGTAACTACATTTTGAGATGGAAGGGAAGCTTTGTGGTGCTTTTATTTCAAAGAGGAAAAATTATACTTGATCTCTTAAATAAATTCTACATTCTGCAGAAAATCTGATTTCTTCAGTCATAGAGACACAACAAATGTGGAATCTTATTAAGCAATTTTCACAGACACCCTTTTCAAAAGGGAACTATTTCAAGGTTTTATCTAGTGCTATTCTGCTTGTCTCACTGCTCTTCAGGCTGGAACTGCAAGCACATTCTCCTTTATTTGCTTTTTTTCCTAGTTGCAGTCTTTTCTTAGCTTTGCATATAGTCTGTTCCATGTATGTCTATTATTGTGGCCAAAGCTCAAGCCAGTCTTTGGGCATTTAGGATTTGTACTGACAATCTAATTTTGTAATGTCAAAAGTGTCATCCCACTATTTTATGTACTGGATGAGTGAAGAAAAAGAGATATCATACTGATCCCTGATATCAGTCAGGTGCATTCTACTTCAGGAGCCAAAAAGGGAAGGGAAAAGGCTATGGCAAACTAGATCTGTCAATCAAGTTTTATCAAATCATAAGTCAGAAACAACATGACCAAGCTAATGCCGAGGTTTCACTAGATGTAGTCCAGACAGGCCAGACATGTGCTATTGCTTTCAGTCCACAGGTATCTGTTCACTAAATGACATCATACAGGGAGAGATGGATGGATTGGATGGGTAGATTCAAAGGGATGTATGTTTGTCTCAGTTGTTTGTATTCAACAGGTGACAGACTACTTTTGCACAGTTGACTCTTTACTGCATGACAAGACAGCAAGCCAGTGGATTCCTTCATTTTGCAAATACTGGATCTTTCAGAGTATTGATGTGAGTAAAACGGGCGTGATGTAGCACTTTGCATGACAGATTGGGGGGCACAAAATGCAGCTCGAATCACACATGGAAAACTGAGCTGTTGCAGGAGCTTGGGAAACATGAATGTATTTGGGTTTACAAAGGCTCTATCTGTAATCTCAGCATTGCTGTGTCAGAGCCTACCCATGGACATTGACTTGCCAAGGCAATACTGCTTTCCTGACTGGTGAGTGGAATATTTCCAATGTTGCATACCCATAATTCAAGAAATCTCAGGCAACACAGGCTGTATTTGTGGTATCATCAGCTATTCATCTTATTCCTGAATCTAAAGAAAACCAGTTTTTGATGGCTCTAAGTTGCAATATTTCATAAGTCAAAGGTCTTAAATATAACTGAAATAAATCATATTTTTGGCCATTTTTTCTCGATATGAGCAGAGAAGGTATTGTCTTTAATGATCTTAACAAATGAGAGGGACAATGCTGCTTTTTTAACTTCTGTTTCTTTATGTGGACACAGAAGTAATTTTTTTTTCCAAGTGAAAAATAAGTGTATTGTGGAGGTTAAAATAGTGAACATCAGAAATTGTAATTTAGCAATATTTTTGTGTATGTTACACCAGAAATTAATACATGGAATATCTCACTTTTGGTCGAAACCCCCCAGGTGACCTCTATACCAAAACTACGAAATTGTAGGATATATGTAGTGGGAATAAATCCGAGATTTGCATTTTCACAAAGCTCAGATAGTCTAGGCTGATACTGACAGATACATAAAAAGAAAAAAACTCTCAGAATGAAAAAAACCCCTCTCTGTGATAGACTTTTCTGACACTAGAGGGCGTAAACGCCATTAAAAACAAATGCAAATGCAGAAACATTTTAAAATGCGTGTTACAGATACATGTGTCCTCTCCCACCTCCTTCGAATTAATTTACATTCTTTAAAGAATTATTACATTGATTGAGGTCTGTTGTCTGCTCTCATATTATTTGCTGAAAAGAAAAGCTAGCAACATTTTTGCTTTTAAAACATGTAAAACATGTCAGAAAATAATGGTTGTAAAATAAATGAAAAGTTGTTAAAATTAACTTGGTAATATTTATTTTAAAAGCAAGGGAATTTATGACCAAAGAACAATGAAAATAGTACAAGATCCATGGAAACTAAACAATCTTTGTAAAAGATTGTAGAAGCCAGCATGGCTCATTTTTTTCATGTTCAGGAGACAAATCATGTTTCCCAGGAGATTTAGCAGGTCATCCAGGCAGCGATCAGGTTTTTTGCACTGGAGTTGATTAAGAGAATGGTGCTCTGCCTTTCCAGGGCAAGGACTGTCTTCCCACCCTCCAGGTGCTTGTTTGCTCTGGCCGGGGTTGGTGCTTTACCCAGCTGGGTGGGATGATGATGCATCTTCCCTCTTTGCTGTCTCAGCTAATGGCTCTTTCCTCTTCCCCAGGAGAAGCCCGAGAGGCTTCTCTGGTGAGACTCTCAGAGAAGATTATACAGCTGCTCATCAGCCCATGAATTTAGGCAGCCAGCCACCCACCCACTTGGGCACATGCTTACTTCCCAGCATAGGGGAGAAGGCAGAAAAAGCAATTCCCATCCTTCCTGACACTAACAATAATCATTATGAATCTGCAGCCTTATGGTCCTGGTTTTGGCCAGGTCTGAAAATAGCCTAATGATTTTGGAAGAGCAATTTCTAATAATGCAAAATATTGCTGGTAGTGTGAGGTGCAGAACCACATTACATAGATTACTTCAAATTTTATTCCAGCCTAGGGAGATTCTGCATGGAATTGCGTATAATCTTCCTGGCTGGTTTTACTGCTATGAAGGGCCCTCTGCTGCAATAACCCTCTCTTCTGCTCAGTGGTGATGGACATGGTCCCCTCTGGGTCCACAAACGTTCCTCCAAGCGTGGGCCAAAATGATCATTCATGAATGATGAAAACCACATCTGCTTCTCAAAAGTGGCAGTACTCCCTGGGCTTTCCAGCCTGCAGTGCAAGAGAATTAAACTAGTGCCCCTGCACCTGGCTGGGTTAGCAGTTTCTGAAATACAAAATTTCTAATAAAAGTCAGGGTGATTTGGGGTTTTCTTTTGCTTGTTTGGTTTAGTTTTGTTTCTATGTACACCAAGGATTTCACCCAAGAAGGGTAAACAGATTTGCACAGTTGGACTTCAGTACTTTGAGGTCAAAACACAGGAACTTTTGCATGGAAAAGTTAAATGCTTGACCAAGGAGACACTCCCAGCTTCTTGTAGTCAAGACCAAGATCTAGATAATCAAATTCCCTCTGTTCTTGTTTACCATAAAATATTAAATTCAAAGAGGTAAAAATATCTTTTGTTGTCATCAGGAAAAGCTAATATCCTACCTGATCCTGACCAAAGCATCACAGAAGTACAATGTCTAATTTATACTGCATGGGGGCTGTTTAAACTACCAGAGATATAGTTCAGCTGACTCCCAACAGCTGCATTACAGTCACAGACATACTACTAAGACAGCATTTTGGTTTGTGTTTTTTCCCAGATTTCAGAAGCAAAAATGAGCATGTTTGTTTTTAGGAAAAAGAGAATGTTTCTGAATGGATCCGACACTTTTTATGAATAAGAAAAGCAACATAGCAGAAAAACTGTTCTTGATGTAAAACTTGCAATCTGCCTCTCTTAGTGTTCCCTAAATAATGTGGTTCTACAAGGCAGTGGCCATCATCCACAGTCACAGGTGAAAATGTGCCTTTTTTAGAGTTTGCAATCAAAGAGAGCTTTGCTCAACCCTTCATGCAGTACCAGGCTTCCGTGGCAAGTCCAGGTGCCCTCACTCTACGTGCCCCTGCCAGTGCCTGAGTCTTGTCCTGCCTAAATGTGACACTCACACTGTGACAATCACTGCAGAAGGTCTCTGCAGAAGAAGCTTGTGCTTCCAAACCCCTTTGGATTCCTTTTTTTTTTTTTTGTTTAAAGTGATGGCCCATTATAGAGCACCACAAAATTGTGCTTCCATTTCTGTGATGGAGATGCTTACCTGGTGAGAGGTCTGTCATGTTATTTGGTGGGATTTAATGCTTAGTTCAGTGGATGGAGGGCAGTAAAATTCATCAGCTAGACTGCCACACACTCCACAAAGGAGGACTGACTGGCTGAGCTCTGCCTTTGTGCTCTCATGGGCATGTGAATAAACCAATCTCAATTAACTCCCTTCACAAGTAGACTGGCTTTGGAACTAAGCAGATATGATGCAAGGGAGCAAATATTAGTTAACCACTTTAACTTTGAAACCGCTTAAGAAAAGACCATCCGTGAAGAATAGAAACTAACCATTCTGAGAGTAGAA